AATAAACCTCTGCAGGGTAATAAAGACTACACTACGTAATTTTCCCGCTTATCATGCGGCCACTTGCCTGAGAAGTAAATAATTGAGCGCAAAATATTAATTTGACATTTTAATTACCTCAACATGACTCGCAGTACCCGCTTGAGCGCTCCGTTATCAGTTGAAGAAGTTGTGGTTGTATCAATAACAGACCACTAGATGGCGCGATTGAAGAGTCAGAGTTGTATTGCAGGGAGACATGTAGAAATATAAACGAATGATGCATTGTTCTGCTCTAAGCATGCAAGTTACAAGTTTGTGAAAGGACTTCCAGTGCCAGGTAAACGTAAAGCAGATTATGAATAAACTTAAGATTCACAAATACCAAAACAACGCGTCTACACAAGCTGGACAATAATTCAATATCAATATGTATTCCTAAAATATTATATAGTTTTATAGGAGTAGGTTTCATAGAGTTGGCAAATTAATTTTTCATAAGTTTGTAGGTACAGACATCTGTTGTGGCCGTTTTTATGAGGCTTTTTTAATAGTGTTCATATCGATACCGGAATTATATCGTATCGACCGAAATTAAGAAATATATCGTCATATAAATTTTGGCCATATCGTCCAGCCCTACACCAGAAGCAGCGGCGCGATTTGACAAAAGCAAATAGAACCCAGTGATGTTCTCTGCTGTGGATGCGGCGCGACGCGACACGACAAATCCATGACAGTAAACTGATGCCCGTTCTATCTCTGACGAACTCCAGCGCTCTGACACAAAGAACAATTTCAAATATTCATAAGAGAATCGTGAAAAAAAAAATATGAAGCAGCACAACGGTTTACAACATTGATAATAATTAAAAATGTTTCTTGAGCAGCAAATCAGTATATTAGAATGATTTCTGAAGAATCATGTGACACTGAAGACTGGAGTAATGATGCCAAAAATTCAGCTTTGATCACAGGAATACAGTAGTCTATATGATAAAACATTCAAATAGATAATTTATAAAAGATTTTTAAAAAAAGAGGGGGTGAGGGAGCCTTGAAAATATTCTTCCCTATAAAAGGGGGGCCCGGCAGAAAAAGTTTGGGAACCACTGGCCTACTCAAACACAATATTTAATTCATACAGGCCTACCTCATGTTGCACGTTTGGAGAAAAAAAAAAAAGTTTACTTTTTCTAGTTATATAAGGTTAAAATATTTTTCCTGTAATTTTTTTTTCTCATATCGCAATATAATATCAATATCGTCTGGACAGTGTAAAATATCGTGATATGATTTTTAACTCATATCGCCCACCCCTAATGGGAATAGTGAAATCTCACTACAATGTACAGTCACATTCGAAAACTTGTTGATAATGATCTCTATCTTTTCTCTCTGAGGATCTAGAGCAGAACCACACCCAAGGTGGAGAAATGGCTGTGCAATTGCATTGTAATCTCTAAAATGAGCTTCACTGTAACTCATCTGTAATGTGCATCATGTACATTTAAACTACACTGTCAAGCCTAACACAGTGACAGCTGAAATGTTTAAGACAGGACACAAACATCAATCAGGATTAAGTGTGGAGAGGAGAGGCCATTTCAATCAATTCAGGACCAAGGGTTCCACAGTAGCCAAATCAGATCAAAGCAACAGACACTTCAGTTTGCCCACTCCATGCTTACGCACGCACAGTCACAGCGCCATTCACACAACACCACTGCGAGCACATAGTGAGCTGAAGGATGAGCTGGCAGGTTTAATTTAGCATTGTCCCAACTAACAAATGTAAATATAGCTATTCTAGTTAGAACCATTATCCACTTACTTCCGGTGCTGCTCTTATGAAACGATGACACCTAAAACTCCATCACAAGAGAGTGACTTACAAAAGGAAGGTGGGTCTACAAAAAGTCAAATATAATAATATCTCAGTCTTTCAGTAAGGCCAGTTTTTTTTCCATTTGCAATTTCATTCACCAGTTTTAAAATTAGGGGTGCGCCGATCCGATATTCAGTATCGGTATCGCTCCGATACTGCCCTTTTCTGCTGGATCGGGGTATCGGTCAGACGAGACCGATCCAAATCCGATATAGTGCGTATACTATTCTGTGTTGTTATTATTAAGCCCCACGAAAGTCACAAAAACATTATAAAGCTTTCGTGCACTATATTTCAAGTGTTCTGAAGCTTTTCCTCTTTTGATGAGTTCGTGAGGGGTGAGCTGGAAGTTTTTACTTCTGGTTCTTCTGACGAAGGAAAAGTCCACAGCGACTAAAGTTACTTATTCAAACGTATTCACTTTTATTTGTTACCCACTAAATAATGTTTTTTTTTTCACAAAAAATTTAGGATTTTATAAAATTATTGTGCACTCATGATTTTTCTAGAGTAACTTTTGCTACTGAATTATCAATTAACCTAGTTTTAATAGTATTTTTGTCATAGATTTTGATTATATTTTTTGTTTGTTCTTTTTTCTTTATAATGAAGCTGTCTATACTTAGAAGATGATGATCGACCTACACATTGAGGTATAGAAATTCTACACTCATTTAAAAAAAACTGCGTGTGTTATTATTAAGCCCCACGAAAGCCACAAAAATATTATAAAGCACCATAAAGTTTTTGTGCACTATATTTCAAGTGTTCTGAAGCTTTTCCAGTTTAATGTGAGGTACAGATGAATATTTAAGTCAAGTTCACGTAAACTCTTCTCTCCGCAGCGGCTGTCTGTCATCCTCCATTCAGCATTCAAACTGTGTCACGTTCGGTTATGACAGTCAAGACGATGAAACGCTCTCCAAGATGATTAAATGTTCCTAATGTTATACTTGATCTGTAAATAAAGATAAATGGTTTTGCATAAAAGGAATTTATCTTGCTGGAGTTTTGTGCTGTTTCTAAATCGTGTAAATTTCTACCGGATATCTGGTTGGATCACAAGACTGGAGTAGAGAGCACTATGAATTGTTCGTCACGAGCACAGTAACTGAAATTTAAAACTGTTAAAAGAAAAGGCTCAATAAACTAACACACGTTTAATACACTACGCATCAATATCTCTTCACTTTGTGCTTTGAACTTGTCTATGCTCCGTGTTGCTTCAAGCGCCTCATTCTGCGCACGGGATGCGCATAAGCACTTTGAGCCGCTCTGTATTTGTAGCCTTTAGTATCATAATACTTTTGCGCAATGAAAGATTATTAATAGCCTTTCTTGTTCGTTTATCTATCATATGTTGCTGCCTCATTACTCTGCTATACATTTAAAAGAAATGTCTTTTAATTTATACAGTAGTCAGCATTTGAAGTGGATCAAAAAAGTTAATCAAAGTTGTCCTAAGACAAGAACAGGTATTGTTTTGGTTTTAGGACAACTTTGATAAAAGGTTTTGATCCACTTCAAATGTTGACTACTATAGTATATATTTATATATAAATATATAACTTGTTTTTCATGAATGATTTTACAACAATACAAAGATCAATGTGTAGGACTACCAGATTTAGCTCTACACTTATTCACTTTTATCTTGGTTACCCACTAAATAATGTTTTATAATGTTTTAAAATGATTTTATAAAATGATTGTGCACTCATGATTTTTCTAGAGTAACTTTTGCTACTGAATTATCAATTAACCTAGTTTTAATAGTATTTTTGTCATAGATTTTGATTATATTTTTTGTTTGTTCTTTTTTCTTTATAATGAAGCTGTCTATACTTAGAAGATGATGATCGACCTACACATTGAGGTATAGAAATTCTACACTCATTTAAAAATAAAAATAAAACTGCGCTGGTATCGGATAGAGATGCACCGATTGCAATTTTCTGGGCCGATTCCGATTTCTTTGTTAGTGTGATCTGCCGATACCGATTTTTGCCGATTCCGATTTTCTTTCTAAGAACTATAATTGACAGCGTATACAAACAAAAATCAACTTTTCTTCAACGCAAAGTTTTATTTTCATAAGTAAACTTTCAAGCAAAAAGTCAGTAATAAAATAAGAACAAATAAAAAAAAATTCAGATTTAAAAAATCAGCACAAATAAATGCAATAGAATAAAGAGAGCTATGAAACTACGTTTTTCAGGTCAAGTAAGTTTTTATTCAGTTAAGAAATACTACAGAAATGAAAGTAATCCAATGTAAAATAACACATCCAGTGTTATTTTACATTTGCTTACTTTAATTTCTGTAGTCTTCATTGTAAAAATTAAATACAGATTAATGCTTACCACTAAAGTTATAAAACGCATTCAGTCAAGAGCAGAAAGTGATTTTCTTTGTCTTTTGTTCTTTGATTAACATGACAGACAGCCGCAGGAATATTTGGCAAAGAGCTCTCTCATTTCACCCAAGAGAGAAACAACACCACCCAAGTCATCTTACACACGGCCTGATGTCACGGCTATTTCAAGCGCCCCCCCAAAAGGTTTACTACTCATGTTTAAACTAATCGAGAGAGGTGACACTACATGATATAGCCAAGCTTATCATGTGTCACATCATCATCATCTTGACAACATGACTACAGCACTACACCCTAACCCCCTCTGTGTCCTTATGACCTCTGGAGAACAAACAGATGGGCGTCTGTAAAGGACTTAACAAAAATCTAATAAAGGGGTGCATCTGTTCATTTGTGGAAACTGGTGTGCTGTTAAACTGCTGTTAATAACATTCAGCCTCATCAAATGCACTGATGTGGACATCATGATGAGAGCTCCCTGACATTTAAAAGTCTTTGAGATCCAGCGTAACACACATTTATACACTGAAAAATAATGACCAGCAGCTAACGGGATCAAATAGCAGCAATGAGCTAGCTGTCAAAGCTGCTTATACAACCAGCTGCGTACATTTCCACACCGTTATAACGTAAACACACACCTTCATCCATCCGTTCACCGCACCGCTGCTTCAGAGCAAACCATCATATCTGCACCATATATCAGTTATAAGGCAAACTGTTAGACGTGAGAACGGGAGTAAAAGAGATACTGACCTCCAGGAGCTAACGCCACTGCTACTCGCTTTAGCCGTGTTTCTGTGGCCCTGCTGCGGCGAAAGAGCGTCTCACAACGCGTTCGTCGTTCCAGAAGATGGCCAGCACATGCTGTGACAGCGGCACGACGCGACGAGCGCACATCCGTGTTCTGTGGCGGCGGGTCAGTCAGTGATGCAGCGATGTTTGTGGCTGTAGACAAGCGCTGCTCGTCCTCTCTCTCTCTCTAGACAAGCGCTGCTCGTCCCAAGCTCCGCGCGTCCTCTCTCTCTCTCTCTCTCTCTCTCTCTCTCTCTCTCTCTCTCTCAGCTTCCAAACTGTACGATTTGTAGCGACGTCCGATTCGTCATGGAATCGTTTGTTTGATCCGGTTCTTTTCAAAGAATCAGCTGAACCGGTTCTCATCGCTTTACACACGGATTGGTCTGAATCGGTTCGCGCAGTTCTAGACTCAATCACCGACTCACTGAACAGAGAGCTGCCTCTTTCGGACGTGTGTGATTAGTAATGAAAAGGGAATCGCTGCTTGAATTGCTAGCTAGGAAGAGCATTCGGAGCGAACAGATGCTTTAATTGATAGGGCGAAATAACTTCAATAGCCGTTATAAATAAATTAAATATATATATATATATATATATATCGCTAGGTTCTTTGTGACTTTACGCTGAATCACGGCTGCGACAAATTAAATGATTACAATATGAACGCTTATTAATAATAATAACACACACACACACACACACATACGCAACTGACAGATTGCGTTTGGTATAAAAATATAATAAATAACGAACGAGAAGAAAACGAATGAATCAAAAGAACCGATTCGGGGAAAAGAATCGGACTTCCCATCACTACTGTACCCGAGCGTGAGTTCCGCATACAGCCGGAGGCTGGACTGAACCATTCAGTCATCTAGAGGGGACACGCCTTCACGTTTAGGCTTACAGTCCGACACGTGAACTAAGGATTTTCTGGCGTTTATTTAACAATGGCATGTCGGAACGAGGATAAAGGTGAAAACATTCGTTATGTGCTAGAGTGTGGCTCAAATGGTAAGATTGCACAGGCGCAAACTGTTATTCGCATATGGCTCAGAGGGCTTGATTGAGTAAACAAACACAGTATGCCTCTGTCAGAAGCTCATGTTTCCTTAAATTAGGATGCTGGGAGATGCTTACATAACACACATGCTAATAGACAGATCACTGACACCAATGTTGTAAGCTCAGATTCAGTATTTATTTACAGGGTCAACCCTGATCTATTTCATGTCGGAACGAGGATAAAGGTGAAAACATTCGTTATGTGCTAGAGTGTGGCTCAAATGGTAAGTTTGCACAGGCGCAAACTGTTATTCGCATATGGCTCAGAGGGCTTGATTGAGTAAACAAACACAGTATGCCTCTGTCGGAAGCTCATGTTTCCTTAAATTAGGATGCTGGGAGATGCTTACATAACACACATGCTAATAGACAGATCACTGACACCAATGTTGTAAGCTCAGATTCAGTATTTATTTACAGGGTCAACCCTGATCTATTAAAAAAAAACAGCAGAATGATAAAAAGACAAACAATACGGAGGTTCCCTGTTTTAGGTAATATAAAGAATAGACTTTAAGTCATCTAAGTTTTTCAGCATTTTTTTTTATCAGATAAATATATACTCTCACAGAACAATACATTTAGTCTACTATTAATTTATACATATAAAGCAGTATACATTCAAGGACTTAAGGCGTTAAAACATAAGGTTGCATTTCTATGTTGTCAACCTTCCACGACTCTCTATTGAAGACTAATGTTAATCAGAGCAATGAGGTCCACTGAGCTGAGAGGGTACAAATAAATTAGAACCACAATCAACTTTGCATTACACTCTGCCTCATGTAATAATATTCTGTTAGAAAATCATTTGATCATTTCAGTTTGGAGAAAACAAAGCTTAGTGCAGCGAGAGTAAACACTCATTACGGTGATTACTAGAATTTGTCTATGCCCTCCTCACACTTCATATGTGCACAAACAGATGATAAGCAATGACAAATCATCAGGAAGGTCATTGAGGTTCAACGATGCATGTCTTTCAGTGGGTTTTATACCAAGTTTCATGTGAACTGTCTGAGTTTGGCTGCTCAGCCAACTGGGGAAATATGAACGGATGAAGGAAAAGCCCTTGTGAAAGATCGGAAATGACTTCGAATAAAATGAGCCTGGACACGTCTAATCAGACATCAAAAAGAGCTTGAGAAAAACTAAGGTGCTTTAGCAATTTCACAAGCTGATAGAAAGGTGGTATAAAAACTGATCAGATTCAGGAAGCAAAGTCTCAATAATTTGCGCAGGCAGGGCAAAGAATGCCACAGCAAACCAACTGTATTAGTCAACCATGGAAATTATGGTTATTTTTGCAATGTTAGTTTCTGTAATTGATTCACCACAACCCATGTTTTTCATAAAAGTGGTTTTTAAGATCAGTAAAACCTGAATTGTACAAGGTCACACTGGGTATTTGCATTGCTACGGAGCATAAGCAGCTCTCGTTTGCCTAGTCCCTTTTTTCAGAGCTACTGCTGTGATACAGTTCAGTTTAATACCAAAATAAGGTTGTTTCGCATACATCGCCGATCACTCTTGATGTAGATGGGACAGGTTTTATTCTAAGTTGTGCTTTCAGACTATCTGAATATCATCATAATGCACAAGTGAGGTACAACAAAACTGTTAAAACAGCCTGCTAGATCATTTCAAAATCACACAAAAAGGAAAATTACAATTTAAATGAAATGATTTAGCATGTGTAAATAAAAGTTGACAAAACTATCCTCATTGAAGAATGGGTGTATATAGAACTAAATAGAACAATGATACTAGAAAAATTATGACTTTTCTTTGACAATTTCAACCACTGATTTTGGAAGATATATAGTACTATACTGCTCATTTGTGATTTGTGTTGCATTCAGGGACAAAAATGACACATTGATCGAGATAGGCATCAAACTGAGAACTAGGTTGTGCATGTATATTAAGTTTTCAAGAATGAACTGCCAAACAACATCAGCCGTCCAAGTAGAACTGACGAGTCAAACAAAGAGAAACTACAGCATATTAGGTTGAAGATTGCAGTAACTAAACATGATAATGTAATGGAAAAAGAATAATCATGGTCTACATTAAGTTTTCAGAAGGCTTCACACTTGAAGGTTATCTATCTGTCTATGTATCTCAGTAGTCGCTGTGAGTTGAGCAGCACACTGATTCGGTTTAATGGCTCCAGTGAGTCTTACCGATCCCTGCCAACCATATGCTACACTGGTAAGCCCTTTTAACCACTCCAAAACATTGGGTTGGTGTGCAGAATACATCTGCAATACGTTCGACCTCAAAATCAGGCCATTCGGTTTGTCAGTTCTTCTGAATATTCCAACCAGCAGAAAACAGAATTCCTTGTGTACCTTGTGATATGCTGGATCAGTGTAACACAGGCTCTGAATGGCTTGTACTGGTAAAGCACTGATTGATTTTGTCCATAAAAACCTTTGGATGTTAACAGAAGATTGCGGTTTAACATTAATTGGAGACTAAATGCATGTCAAACATCATGTTATAAAACTGAGCGAATGAGTTTGCACTAACAGAAGACTGTGTTTGTTACTCATTGCTGTGCATGATCTATCCATGTAAAAAAAAAAATTCAAATCAATCAGTCAGAGTGGAATCACAAAAACACTGTAAATAAACTACATTTCTGTAATGAAGAACCTTCATGACAACCTCTTCTGTTAATTAGAAAGTAGAAACCATTGCCAAAACCTGCTCAAAGCTTTTGGTACTGGAAACATTAGGTATAAACAAAAACAACAACTAAAAAAATCATGACCACTCCGTTTGTGGCTGCTCACTCCAGCAAGTCAGTCTCTGAATCCAAACCCATCCAGATGCCCAAGCCCAAATGATCATGGTCAAATAACCATCACCTGTTCTGAACAGTCCCTGAGCTACTTCTGGCCATACAGTCTATCAATAGCACATTCAAATGAAGCAGCTCACTGACCACTGGGTCTAAAATATAGAAGTCATGGAAGAGAATAAAAAAACCAGGCTTCTTGTGACAATGGGAGACATTTCAGCCCTTAAGGACATCATGAACCCTGTGTTCTGTCTGTAGAGGACCCCTGCCCACCCATGTTTTCCTGACACTGGCTCATTCTGTCCTGGAGGTGGAGCGCTGGCTCACTCGTGGACATCCCAAATTTCAGAAAGCAGAGGTGGGAGTTTCTTGTCTTGGAGGCGCAGAGCAAAGACTTGCTCTGAGTGGACGCTGCTCAGTGTGCGTAGGCTGACCAGCTTCATCAGCATCCGGGGAAACATCAGATGATCCTTTGGTGGGGATTAATGAGCAGTAGATGATTGGGAATATAAAAGAAATAGCAAAATCTCATCAGGTATACAGTGTTTTTATTGTTAACGAAAACTACTAAAATCATGTTTTGTTAACTGAAATAAAATGAAATATAAATAGATGAAAAACTGAGATTAAAAAGAAATAGAAGTGACAAGCACATGACAAAATCAGTAAAACTAAAATTAAACAGAAAATATAAAAATAAAAGCTAATTTAAAATATTTATAAATGTTATAATAGTATATAAATACTACTACAATAAAACTGGTTATAGTCAATCGTTATTATATGTTATTGGTGCAAAGGTAGAATCATCAGTGCCACCAACTGGATGCAAAATGACACAACAGGCTAAATACATACTGCCTTTATTGTAAGACAAAATACTAATATATTTACTATAATCTTACATAGACTACCATTCAAACATTTGGGGTAAGTTTTTTTTATAACATGTATTATGTTATATAAATATTTATACTGTTACAAAAGATTTCTTTTTGAATATAAAATAAATTGTATTTATTAAAAAAAAAATTTGAAAAATTGGTTTTCAACATTGATGATGATGATGATGATAAGAAATGTTTCTTGAGCACCAAATCAGCATATTAGAATGATTTTTCAAGGATCATGTGACACTGAAAATTAAGTTTGCCATCACAGGAATAATTTTTTTTTTAAATATATTAAAACACAAAAAAGTTTTTCACAATATTATTGTTTTACTGTATTTTTAATCAAATAAACGTAGTCTTGGTGACCATAAGAGACCTATTTCAAAACATTTAAAATCTTACTGACCACAAACTTTTGAATGGTATTGTATGATTTACAAATGAACAAACACTATAACAAAACACTAATATTCTTTTAGCACTTATTTTTCTTCTTTAAGTGTTATTTTTGCCCTCTAAGGTAAATCATACTCACATTGGGTCGTTTTATTCTGATGTAAGAGTGGAGAGCGTCCACATATGGCTGCTGTAGTCTTTCCACTAACTCGTGATCCTGCACGTTCGGTCGGTCTGACCCCCACCACACACACACACACACACACACACACACACAAGACAAGAATAGCAAGAGTGATTGACACAAATCAATAAGAATGATGCTGCATTTAATTTGTTTTGTGAGAAAGTGCCTTGGGAATTACTGAAGGATGGATCATTAAAAATCTCTCAAAATAAAGCAGCAGCACACCAGATGCCAATCTCAAATTAGAGATTTAAAATGACTACTAAATCTAATGGGATATTAAAAATGGCTTCCCCTTTCAAAACATAACATATTAAACCCTTTATGACACTCAAACAAGGCTTAATTATTAGAAATCCATAATAGCAAGCTGAATACAAATACTCTTCTATAGCAGGAGGTTTTGTGTTGTTATAAAACTCATTATACTCAATTATTTTGCTGCTTTTTCATTTCTTCTCCCCTGAAAATGGAAAATGGGACATACTGATATTTCTAAACAGGAATAGGGCCAAATAAATGCCTGATAAGACTCACCAGAAGCCAGACAATATAAAATTGGTGCTTGTGTCAAACTGACCTGCTGAGAAAATGTTGATAGCGATGAGCAAAGCGTACTCTGCCTCATCCAGGTGGAGGTCATTCATGCCTTTTGAAAACTCAAAGATGGGGTTGATGAACTCAAACTGCAGCCCTGCGGACGAGCCAGAGAGGACAGAGATCATTTTAGGACATGAACAACAAAAACAGGTCTCAAATAAAACCCACACAAAATATAAACCAACTGTATTAGTCAACCATGGAAATTATGGTTATTTTTGCAATGTTAGTTTCTGTAATTGATTCACCACAACCCATGTTTTTCATAAAAGTGGTTTTTAAGATCAGTAAAACCTGAATTGTACAAGGTCACACTGGGTATTTGCATTGCTACGGAGCATAAGCAGCTCTCGTTTGCCTAGTCCCTTTTTTCAGAGCTACTGCTGTGATACAGTTCAGTTTAATACCAAAATAAGGTTGTTTCGCATACATCGCCGATCACTCTTGATGTAGATGGGACAGGTTTTATTCTAAGTTGTGCTTTCAGACTATCTGAATATCATCATAATGCACAAGTGAGGTACAACAAAACTGTTAAAACAGCCTGCTAGATCATTTCAAAATCACACAAAAAGGAAAATTACAATTTAAATGAAATGATTTAGCATGTGTAAATAAAAGTTGACAAAACTATCCTCATTGAAGAATGGGTGTATATAGAACTAAATAGAACAATGATACTAGAAAAATTATGACTTTTCTTTGACAATTTCAACCACTGATTTTGGAAGATATATAGTACTATACTGCTCATTTGTGATTTGTGTTGCATTCAGGGACAAAAATGACACATTGATCGAGATAGGCATCAAACTGAGAACTAGGTTGTGCATGTATATTAAGTTTTCAAGAATGAACTGCCAAACAACATCAGCCGTCCAAGTAGAACTGACGAGTCAAACAAAGAGAAACTACAGCATATTAGGTTGAAGATTGCAGTAACTAAACATGATAATGTAATGGAAAAAGAATAATCATGGTCTACATTAAGTTTTCAGAAGGCTTCACACTTGAAGGTTATCTATCTGTCTATGTATCTCAGTAGTCGCTGTGAGTTGAGCAGCACACTGATTCGGTTTAATGGCTCCAGTGAGTCTTACCGATCCCTGCCAACCATATGCTACACTGGTAAGCCCTTTTAACCACTCCAAAACATTGGGTTGGTGTGCAGAATACATCTGCAATACGTTCGACCTCAAAATCAGGCCATTCGGTTTGTCAGTTCTTCTGAATATTCCAACCAGCAGAAAACAGAATTCCTTGTGTACCTTGTGATATGCTGGATCAGTGTAACACAGGCTCTGAATGGCTTGTACTGGTAAAGCACTGATTGATTTTGTCCATAAAAACCTTTGGATGTTAACAGAAGATTGCGGTTTAACATTAATTGGAGACTAAATGCATGTCAAACATCATGTTATAAAACTGAGCGAATGAGTTTGCACTAACAGAAGACTGTGTTTGTTACTCATTGCTGTGCATGATCTATCCATGTAAAAAAAAAAAATTCAAATCAATCAGTCAGAGTGGAATCACAAAAACACTGTAAATAAACTACATTTCTGTAATGAAGAACCTTCATGACAACCTCTTCTGTTAATTAGAAAGTAGAAACCATTGCCAAAACCTGCTCAAAGCTTTTGGTACTGGAAACATTAGGTATAAACAAAAACAACAACTAAAAAAATCATGACCACTCCGTTTGTGGCTGCTCACTCCAGCAAGTCAGTCTCTGAATCCAAACCCATCCAGATGCCCAAGCCCAAATGATCATGGTCAAATAACCATCACCTGTTCTGAACAGTCCCTGAGCTACTTCTGGCCATACAGTCTATCAATAGCACATTCAAATGAAGCAGCTCACTGACCACTGGGTCTAAAATATAGAAGTCATGGAAGAGAATAAAAAAACCAGGCTTCTTGTGACAATGGGAGACATTTCAGCCCTTAAGGACATCATGAACCCTGTGTTCTGTCTGTAGAGGACCCCTGCCCACCCATGTTTTCCTGACACTGGCTCATTCTGTCCTGGAGGTGGAGCGCTGGCTCACTCGTGGACATCCCAAATTTCAGAAAGCAGAGGTGGGAGTTTCTTGTCTTGGAGGCGCAGAGCAAAGACTTGCTCTGAGTGGACGCTGCTCAGTGTGCGTAGGCTGACCAGCTTCATCAGCATCCGGGGAAACATCAGATGATCCTTTGGTGGGGATTAATGAGCAGTAGATGATTGGGAATAAAAAAGAAATAGCAAAATCTCATCAGTTATACGGTGTTTTTATTGTTAACGAAAACTACTAAAATCATGTTTTGTTAACTGAAATAAAATGAAATATAAATAGATGAAAAACTGAGATTAAAAAGAAATAGAAGTGACAAGCACATGACAAAATCAGTAAAACTAAAATTAAACAGAAAATATAAAAATAAAAGCTAATTTAAAATATTTATAAATGTTATAATAGTATATAAATACTACTACAATAAAACTGGTTATAGTCAATCGTTATTATATGTTATTGGTGCAAAGGTAGAATCATCAGTGCCACCAACTGGATGCAAAATGACACAACAGGCTAAATACATACTGCCTTTATTGTAAGACAAAATACTAATATATTTACTATAATCTTACATAGACTACCATTCAAACATTTGGGGTAAGTTTTTTTTATAACATGTATTATGTTATATAAATATTTATACTGTTACAAAAGATTTCTTTTTGAATGTAAAATAAATTGTATTTATTAAAAAAAAAATTTGAAAAATTGGTTTTCAACATTGATGATGATGATGATGATAAGAAATGTTTCTTGAGCACCAAATCAGCATATTAGAATGATTTTTCAAGGATCATGTGACACTGAAAATTAAGTTTGCCATCACAGGAATAATTTTTTTTTTAAATATATTAAAACACAAAAAAGTTTTTCACAATATTATTGTTTTACTGTATTTTTAATCAAATAAACGTAGTCTTGGTGACCATAAGAGACCTATTTCAAAACATTTAAAATCTTACTGACCACAAACTTTTGAATGGTATTGTATGATTTACAAATGAACAAACACTATAACAAAACACTAATATTCTTTTAGCACTTATTTTTCTTCTTTAAGTGTTATTTTTGCCCTCTAAGGTAAATCATACTCACATTGGGTCGTTTTATTCTGATGTAAGAGTGGAGAGCGTCCACATATGGCTGCTGTAGTCTTTCCACTAACTCGTGATCCTGCACGTTCGGTCGGTCTGACCCCCACCACACACACACACACACACACACACACACACACAAGACAAGAATAGCAAGAGTGATTGACACAAATCAATAAGAATGATGCTGCATTTAATTTGTTTTGTGAGAAAGTGCCTTGGGAATTACTGAAGGATGGATCATTAAAAATCTCTCAAAATAAAGCAGCAGCACACCAGATGCCAATCTCAAATTAGAGATTTAAAATGACTACTAAATCTAATGGGATATTAAAAATGGCTTCCCCTTTCAAAACATAACATAACATATTAAACCCTTTATGACACTCAAACAAGGCTTAATTATTAGAAATCCATAATAGCAAGCTGAATACAAATACTCTTCTATAGCAGGAGGTTTTGTGTTGTTATAAAACTCATTATACTCAATTATTTTGCTGCTTTTTTATTTCTTCACCCCTGAAAATGGGACATACTGATATTTCTAAACAGGAATAGGGCCAAATAAATGCCTGATAAGACTCACCAGAAGCCAGACAATATAAAATTGGTGCTTGTGTCAAACTGACCTGCTGAGAAAATGTTGATAGCGATGAGCAAAGCGTACTCTGCCTCATCCAGGTGGAGGTCATTCATGCCTTTTGAAAACTCAAAGATGGGGTTGATGAACTCAAACTGCAGCCCTGCGGACGAGCCAGAGAGGACAGAGATCATTTTAGGACATGAACAACAAAAACAGGTCTCAAATAAAACCCACACAAAATATTCATAAGGCTTGAACTATGGGGTGGACTATATTACCAAAATAAAGATATTTCAATTTTTTTTATTAATGATAAGAATACATTTTACAAAGTAGTTATTTTCTTAAAATAAGAATGATGATGCAAATTTGACATACCTGTAAGCCCTAGCTGTAACAAATAATATTCTTCATTATTGTAAACATTAGGCAAGTTTAAAACAAGCATCCATTTAAAAATTTCATACAGTACCTGCTTTGGCAAAATCTTCTTTATTGTAACTGAAGTCTTTGAGGAAGGTGATGCTCTCTATCGCTGGATTATAACGCCTGGAAGTCTCTAGCAGCATGATCTATGGGAGAAAAGAAAGTTTAGCAGGTACGTTAAACAAGCGGTACAGGCTGTGCTTGGTTTTTCACAACATCTGTCACCAGGTGGCAGTTTTTCTTAAGCACTCCTTAATTAAGTGTTTCAAAATAACAGCAGAAACAAGTCTGCCAAAGGACAGTGCTCCATCCGCGCGCACAAAAAACAGCAACAGAACATGACCGAAAACAATGTGTGTTAAAGGTCAGTCAAGTCTAACCTCTATAGTCGAGGTCTTCAGCAGGGCGATCTGGTCCTCTCGGGTGAGCTCCAGGAAGCCAGGCAGCTGTTTAGCAAAGTCTACAATCTCCTGCACAGACATGATGGCCAGCTCAGTGAAATGAGCAAATCGCTGCTGTCGAACCTCTCGGTTAAGTGGGTCCTGACTCTGTGGCCATGGCTGAAAAACAACAGATGAAAAGATTCGATCTATATGGCACAATGCATAATTGGATATTTGAAGGATTAAATACATGTCTTTCTGAGCAAACGCAAAGGGCAACCGTAGTTGAATAAACATGTATTAAATGCTTTACAAAGCTGAGCTACAATCGTATTAACTGGCCTGTTAGTCCGCCTTCACAAAAACCAGACTAGTACGATTTCAGTCAAGACTATTCCATTTTAAAACAACAAATGACTATTTTTGTCCGCTTGAAATGAAACTTTTAAAGCTCACTTAAATGCACTTACAGTGACTTTGGGCCGTTCAAGAAAAGAGCTTTTGTTGCACTGTTTCTGCATGGCCACCAGTTTTTCAATCATCTCCTGCTGTTCAGGAGCCAGAGGGGGCATCTCAGGGGCAGGGCCGGGTGTTGCCACTGCAGAGGTAC